GACCGCTGGGCCCCCCCAGCCCGCCTGCCCCTGCCCCTGCACCACCCATTGGCCGCCGTACCCGCCCAATGGGAGCTGCGGAGTCAGTGCTCAGGGTGGGAGCAGTGCACAGACATACACATCCTTCCCTCCCCCCGCCCCCGGGGCCACAGGGGTATGTCAGCTGCTTCCTGGAGCGGTGTAGAGCGAGGGCAGGCAGGAAGCCGCCTTAGCCCCACTGCGCAGCCTATGGTGGCGGCCGGGGGCCCCTGGGCCCTTTTAAATTGCCTGGGGGCGGCAGGCGGGGCCAGGAGACACTCCAGGGGAGGTGCGTGGAGGCAGTAGGCAGGGCCAGGGGAGAAACCCGGGCCCCCAGGTCCTGAATATTCCTGGAGCATGGGCACCAGGGCCCATATAACTCGCCGCTCCTGCACACATCAGCAGGCAGTGTGAGGACAGGAGTGAGGTCAGGCAGACAGGGTAAAGGCAGAGAGAACTACAGAAGCAGGGAAGGAAGCTAATGTTGGGACAGGGTGGAAGAGGGACAAGGAGCTGGAGAAGGCATTGAAAGGAGGGAAAGACTTCAAGGAGAGGCCAGGACAAGTTCACATCCTTATCAGGATGACAATCAATACAAGTACTGTCAAAATGAAAATCCAATACATCAGTTTAGGATAGAGATTCACAGCAATACAGAGGTCTGGGGACAGAGTGAGACATCAAGAAACCAGTCAACAGGAAAACGACACAGATTTTAGAACCAGAAGAAACCTTTACAATCATCTAGCCTGACCTCCTCTAATATAGCCACAGAATTTCACCCAATGATTCCTGCATCTAGCCCAATGACTTGTGTTTGAACTAGAGCCCATAATTTAGAAAGCCATTCATTCTTGATTTACAGACTCCAAGGGATGGAAAGTCTACCATATCTCATGGTAATCTGTGCCAATGATTGATTGCCTTCATTGTTAAAAATGTGAATCTTATTTCCAGTTTGAACTTTGGTGGATTCAGTTTCCAGCCACTGGATTTTGTTATACTTTTGTCTGCTAGAATAAAGAGTCCATTATTACCTGTGGGTGCTGGCCCAGGCCCCACCACACCACCCCGGACGTTCTTTCACGCCCCCTAGGAGGGCACACCCCACAGTTTGGAGACCACTGATCTATACCAAATGAAATTAGTGGGCAGCAGGTTTAAAACAAATAAAAGGAAGTTCTTCTTCACAGTGCCCAGTCAACCTGTGGAACTCCTTGGCTGAAGAGGTTGTGAAGGCTAGGATTATAACAGAGTTTAAAAGAGAACTAGATAAATTCATCGCGGTTAAGTCCATTAATGGCTATTAGCCAGGATGGATGAGGAATGGTATCCCTAGCCTCTGTTTGTCAGAGGGTGGAGATTGATGGCAGCAGAGAGATCACTTGATCATTACCTGTTAGGTTCACTCCCTCTGGGGCACCTGGCATTGGCCACTGTCGGTAGACAGGATACTGGGCTAGATGGACCTTTGGTTTGACCCAGTATGGCCGTTCTTACATTCTTATGACTATCTCTGACAGGTGTTTGTCTAACCTGCTCTTTTGTAGTAAATCCAAAGCTGACTCCAAAGAATAACAAAGGGATCTCACAAAACTGGGCAACAAAATGGCAGATGAAATTCAATACTGATAAATGCAAAGTAATGCACATTGGAAAAATATAATCCCAACTATACACACATCTTGGAGTCAGTGTGGCTATTTCCCTGAAAACAGCTGCTCAATGTGCAGCAACAGTAAAAAAGCTAACAGAATGTTGGGAACCAATAGGAAAGGTAAGAAGATAAGATAATAAGACAGCAAATATCATAGTATCACAATATAAATCTGTGGTATGCCAACAGCTTGAGTACTGCCCCATCTCAAAAAAGATATATTAATATTGGAAAAAGAACAGAGACAGGCAACAAAACTTAGAGGTATGGAACAGCTTCCATATTAGAAGAGATTAAAAAGACTGGGACTGTTCATCTTAGAAAAGAGACAACTAAGATGCGATATGTTAAAGGTGTATAAAATTATGAATGGTGTGAAGAAAAAGTGTTATTTACCCCCTTCACCTAACAAAAGAACCAGGGGGCACCCTATGAAATTAATAGGCAGCAGTTTTTAAAACTAACATACAGAGGTATTTCACATAGCGCACAGTCAACCCATGGAACACACTTCAAACTGTTGTGAAGGCCAAAAGTGTAACTAGGTTAAAAAAAGACTTTGATAAATTCGTGGAGGATATGTCCAGCAATGGTTATTAGCTACGATGGACAGGGACACAACCCCATGTTCTTGGTGTTCCTAAGCCTCTGATTGCTAGAAACTAGGACTTGACAACAGTGGATGGGGCACTTGAAATTGCCCTGTTCTGTTCATTCCCCCTGGAGCATCTGCCACCGGCCACTGTCGGAATATAGGATAGTGGGGTAGATGGACCATTGGTCTGATCCAGTATGGCCGTTCTTATGGACCAAGGCAGAGCTTATTTTGTGTTTAGGATAAAGGTGGAGGTCCTAGTTTTATTTTTATTTGTATTATGTTAGCACCCACAGGTCCACATTTTGCTACCAAGAGACAGTCCACTCCCCCAAAATCTTAAGTCTAAACAGACAAGACAAAGTTTGAGATGGGAAACCGAGACACAGAGCAATGTAGTGACTTGCCCAAGGTCTCTCAGTAGGTCAGAAGCAGAGCAGAGAGTAGAACCCACAGTCTGGGTGGAGTGAATGTAAATACCTTACAACTGAGAACAGGAACAACCCCAGGCATTTTGCCAGATGGATGGAGAATGTTGTTGGCAACCTAACCCACCCCCAAACAACTGAGAGAATTACCATCTCCTGGGTAAATAACACATGTTCTTGAATATTTGCTCCCATTTCTGTGGGGTGTCTATTGTGGAGTATAGGAGTGTAGAACTTGGACTGCAACCCCCAGGACAGCTGTCCAGGGGGGAAAGGCTAGTGCTGACAGTCACATTCAGGTCTGAGCCTGGGGAGCAAGATTTCTCATCCATTTTTAGCCCACTCTTGAATTAGCTTTGACAGCTTTTATTTTAACATCCCTCAGTTCTAGGACTTCAGTGGGCTACCACAACCCTTTAGTAAATACCACAGGGCCCTGCAGCTCTAAACTCACACACACACACGACCCTAACTTCAACCTAAGCACTCCCAGGGTCCTTTACCATGAATGTCCAAGGGCCACATAATCCTAACCCCCAGACCTTTTCTACCCACGACCTCCTAGGCCCCTGGCCCCAGCCAAGTTCTCACACCAATATTCGGACAGTGGATTGGGAACCGGACTCCCTGGGGCCCCAGCAACCCAGCTTCCCCCATACCCTCGGCTCACGCGGCCCCCACCTCCGCCCCCGCCTAATCCCCGCCCTCAAATCAGGCCGGGGTGAGCCGTTCACAGCTGTGCTGGCTCGGGAGGTCACTGCCCGGGCCTCAGCCCCCCACCGCCCGGCCTCCCCCGCACTCACGCGTTCCCCACGTGGATGCGGGGGGCCACCTCGTTGCTGTGCGCGCTGGGGAGGCTGTAGCAGCCGCTCCCGTTAGCCAGCAGGTCGTTCAGCTCCTCCACTGAGATCTGATAGTCGGACATGGCCACTCCCTGCAGCCCCCACTCTTACTCCGCAGCTCTCGGCAGGGCCTTGCTTCTCTCCCCCCCACGAGCTCGGGGCTGAGCCTGATAGGAGGGGCGGGGATCAGCTGGTTCTGCCAGCAGCCGGGCACAGACGGGTCACTGTGAGCAGGAAAGCTGCACGCCCCGCCGGGCAGGGGGGGGGGTTCCTTGTCCCGCTGCCCCCCCGGAGAATCGCGCCTCCAGTCTGTCCCTCCCCTCAGCCCCCGGACAGGACCCCGCCGCCCCGGGAACAGGCAGCAGGTGTCGAGTTCGCCTCCCGCTGCGGGTCCCGCGCCGGCCTCATGGAACGTTGTGTATCAAACGCTGTATCGCGCTGCCGGTGTGCTGATACACCGGCCGGGCCGGGCCGACTGGGCGTGTGTGGCTGTCTCCGGCCCTTTCACAACAGGCCCAGGGAGGAGGCGGTGGGACGGGACGGGACTCTAGGGCGGAGCTGGGGCACCGGGCGCCTCTCCCTGCCCGTGCGGAGGCAGCTGCGCGGGGCCCGGCCATGGCCACGGCCACGCTGAAGCTGCTGGTGGTTGGGGACAGCGCGGTGGGGAAGTCCAGGTGCGGGAAGCGCTCCGGGAGCGGAGGGGCCGGTTTCTGGGGCGGGCCGGGGGGTTGGTGTCCTGGGAGGCCGCAGGGCGTGAGCGGCCCGCTCACCCTGTCTCTCCTTTCCCCGCAGTCTCTTGCTGAGATTCACCGATGACACGTTTGAGCCGTACTTGAACCCCACGATAGGTGAGTGCTGCGAGCTTCCCCGGCCCGGTGTAGCCGGGCTCCCGGGATCTCTTAGCACTCGGGGATCCGTGCGCGGGCTCCAGGCCGCCCCGGGGTGAGCCCCCCAACCCTGCAGCGTTACAGATGGATAATAGGAGACTGAAATAGGGCAGACTTGTAAGGAGCCAGGACCCCCGGTGACACCGGCTGTAGGGGTCTGGATTTGGGAGTGGGAGGAGCGCGGCAGAGGCCTCTTAAAGGGGCTCGCGAGGCTTTCATAGCTGGCTGTTATGAACACACACAGCCTGTGTTTGTGTTCATGCCTCTTCTCCGTGTGAGGTGCTGTGTACAGCCCCGTGCAGCTGTGAAGTGACTGTACCCCCGCCTGTCGGGAGGTAGCAAATGTTGGCGAACTTCATAGCAACTCAACTAAACGCAGAGAGTAGCAAAGCCTCTTGCTGTGTTTGTCCTGACATTGCTTCCCTCTCTTTTGCATACCAGGTGTTGATTTTAAAGTGAAGAAAATGGTGGTTGACGGCAAACCAGTGCAACTTGCAATATGGGTAAGTTTTGCCCAGGACAGATGAAGACAAAACGCCTGCCCTTTTACATTACTAAAGTTTGCTGTACTTTAGAACAGCATTTAGTAGTGAATGGGTATGCAGCAGGTCTTTGCATACACAGTATCTCGAGTATTTAAGTGCCATGGTTCTGCTAGTGTAAAATTGTGTGAAGTGGGCAAGGTGCCTAAATAAGACAAAGTCTCAAATATCAGGACTGTCACTATAAAATCCGGACATCTGGGCAGCTTAGCTTCACTAGTTCTCCTGGATTCCTCTGCTGTGCATTAATGGACTTGACAAGACACAGCCACCCATGAAAGAGGATTGTTGAGCCCCAGGTATTCTCCAGGTAGACAGCCCTTGAACAGCCAAGACCTAATGGGGATGAAATGCCCAAAACAGCTACTGTATGGATTTGGCTGTATTATTTCTATGAGCTGTTTTGCATTGAACTCCCGGCGCACCATGCTGAAAACAAACTCTAGACTTGCCATGCACTGCCCCATTCCTTCAATTAATGGGAAAGGGGAATTCAGTGTTGTAATCCCTATTTAAGGCTAAAGACTTATTTTCAGAGGGTCTGAGCCTTCACCCACAACTGTTGGCTTCAGTGGAGGAGTTCAGAACCTCTGAAAATTAGGACACCAGACTGCAACTGCATGGGAAGTATAATTATAATATTTCTAAAGCTTCTTCTCCACACCCACAACCACGGGGCTTGGTGCTCAGTGCATTAGCATGATCATGATCTAAAATACCCCAAAATAAAAATCTATTTAAAATGCCCCACTTAAAATTAAAAGAAAAACTTGAAACTTTCTCTCTCTCCCAAAAATATATTTCTACATGATGCCTGTTATTCTCCTCTCTGTTTGCTTTCCGCCCCCTCCTCTCTCAGATCCTCAACTTTTCTTATTTAAGTGAGGTGAGGGAGACTGAAATTAAACTCGGAAGGAGCAGGTTCCATATACGTGAGGGCACAATTGTCTGTCAGCCTCAGATCTAAAAGGTGGATTGTGTGAGGGTAGATGTTCATATGCAGGAGGCCTCATATACATTATCTTGGACCAATACTATTAAGGCTTTAAAATAAAAACAAAACAAAAAATGCTGCCAATTTGCATCATTTACATTGATTGTCTATATAGCAGGAGTAATACAATCATGGTTGCTCAAACCAGGGAGGAAGTATGCTTCTTACATTCTGAACAAGTTGCAAGCAAAGAAGCAACTCTTCCAAGAGGGAATTCAAATAACCAAGCTTCAGTCACAAGGGTGTGTCTTGCTGTTCTGAGATCAAAATCAAGGGCAGAGCCTGTGCAAATTGTGCTGCTGAAAAAGATACCTTTGCAGCAGTATGTTAACAGCATCAGGAGAAATCACTCATTACTGACGTGCAGCTGGATTATAACAAAAAATAAAATCCATAAACAAGCTGCCAACCCCCAGAAAGATGTGCAGAGTCCATCTTTGTTTAAGGTTTATGCCAGCTTACTGTGTTCTGTGCATAGGTACTCTGATGACTGGTGCTCTGTGAAAATTAAAAATCATAAATAAGGTTGCAAATAATAAATTTGTTTTTTCCAGCTGTTCTGGAATTAGTATTTGGAAAGCAAATAAGATTTCAAAAGCTTGGTGGGGAAATTGGTCTCTAGAATAGCAAACAGACTTGGAACATAGCACTTGCCCTGCATTCCGTGTACTTTACATTTCATAAAGGCTCAGCAGGGAATGTTCTGAAATTCCCTGTGGCTGGATGTAATCTGCCCTAGCATGCCAGATGTTAAAGCAGAACTGCTTATTTCTAAGAACATCATTTGTGTAGTGGCTTTAAAATCCTTCCTCTTCTTTTCGATTAGCCAGGAGAAATGTTGAAAATGTTTATTTTACTAAGATTGCATCAGACATTGCAGGATTTTCATTATTATTAAAACTGGGTATAACATTTAGGAACCATTTCTTTTTTGTTCTTTCATATTGCCAGTTGCACTAGTACTAAGGAGTGCTCTGCTGTTGTATCCTTGTGTACTTGGAGGCTTAAGGGTATAATAACAAACTGCTTAATAAAAACTCCACAGGTCAGCCCTTGTAAGGGAATACCATGCCAAACCTATGATTGAATATTTGCTGAACAAAGTAGAGAAATTACATGATGGTGTAGATGTCCACCATGTCTAGGTTTTGTAATCCTTACATATATTTAAATAAAAGGGCAATTTCTGAAGTAGACTCATAGACCTTCAGGCCAGAAGGCACCACTGTGATCATCTAGTCTGACCTCATTGCAGGCCACAGAACCTATCCACCCACTCCTATAATAGACCCATAATCTCTGGCTGAGTTACTGAAATCCTCAAATAATGATTTAAAGACTTCACGTTACAGAGAAATCCACCATTTACCCTAGTTCAAACCAGCAAGGTCCCGGTTCTCATGCTGCAGAGGAAGGCAAAACTCCCGCAGAGTCTCTGCCAATCTGGCCCTGGGGAAAAATTCCTTCCTGACCCCAAATATGGTGATCAGTTAGACCCTGAGCATGTGGACAAAATCCACTAGCCAGATATCTGAGAGAGAATTCTCTGTAGTAACTGAGTGCTTCCCAAGTAGTGTCGTATCACGGGCTGTTGGAGACATTTGCTATTTACAGGCGCAGATTGACTATATGCCACTGTAGGCAGTCTCATCACACCATCCCCTCCCTAAACTTAACAAGCTCAGTCTTGAAGCCAATTAGGTTTTTTGCCCCCATTACTCCCCTTGGAAGGCTGTTCCAGAACTTCACTTTCACTCCTCTGATGGTTAGAAACCTTCGCCTAATTTCAAGCCTTAAACTTATTGATGGCCAGTTTATAGCCATTTGCTCTTGTGTCAACATTGGTGCTTAATTGAATAAAAGAAATCATAGTGGGTAAAATTTCATATTCCTTTGCCCCTTTATAGTCCTTGCTGTGGGGGGTTGGACTTCATAATGCACTCTGGAGATGTTTGAAGTCTTTCTGGAGGGAAATATAGGGCAGGGATCGGCAACCTTTGGCCCGCGGCCCGCCAGGGTAAGCACCCTGGCGGGCCGAGGGATGTGCTGGCCGCTGCTTCCCACAGCCCCTGTTGGCCTGGAGCGGTGAACTGCGGCCAGTGGGAGATGTGATTGGCCAAACGTGCGGACTCGGCAGGTAAACAAACCGGCCCGGCCCGCCATGGCGCTTACCCTGGCGGACCGTGTGCCAAAGGTTGCCAATCCCTGATATAGGGTATTGCACTAATAATTTAATTGACCTGTGAATAACTTTTAATCTAATTTCTCATCTGCTTGGGATCCTGCTAGCCTCAAAATGATTTACACATACTGGGCCCTCTTCTTCTACTGCAGGATAAGCCAACGGGAGAATCAAACCCACTGTCTGCTCCTCCTGCCTGCAGTGTCTTGCACTGGATGAATATTTATTCCCATTTCCTCACCTCTTCCACTTCCAACCCTGCTCATTGTGTATATATATATATAGTATTGTTTTGTTTGCAGTATTATTCCCTTATTTATTTTTAAATGGCCTTCCAGATCTGAGTCTCATTGGCTTTCTTCACCTCTTTACTCCTGTTCAGAGGCTGACATCCTCTTTAATTTTAACCTTCAATTATAACCTCTCCTTTTTCACGGTTTTTCTTTTCATCGCATCACTTTTCCTAATATTTGTTGCTTGTTTCCCTGACTCTGCATCTTCTATGCTTTATGTATCCTAATGTCAAGATTCCTGGTCGAAGCATTGTTAACTTTTTCTGTTTATGCCACATACTGCAAATTACCCTTTAATTCTAAATCTTTTTGGTTTTTCCTCTGTAGGATACAGCGGGACAGGAACGGTTTAGAACACTGACCCCCAGTTATTACCGAGGCGCTCAAGGTGTTATTTTAGGTAGGAGGACTATGATTAGCACAACTGTGAAATCATTATCACTAACTAAATGTTAATACCTCTTTACCAAAAGAATACCAAAAGAAGTGGTATTCACCAAAAAGGCAAGAGAAGCAATTAACACAGGCCTGCTCCACTAGGCTGAATTTTGGCTCCTAATCTTTATCAGCAGGAAATGAGTCTTCTGAATATTTTAAATTAAAAAGCTGTAGACTTTATATTACAGACAGCTCAACCATTGAGCAGATGCATTCTCAACTTTATAGTAATTTCTGTTTGGAGCGTTTCTGGTTACAAAGCAAATTATTTTTCAAGTCTGCTCTTCCTGAGACATTTTTATTTCCCTCTTCAGAAACAATATCAAATCTGCCTGGTGAAAAGCGCAGATAACTTATGGCAGTTCCCATTCTTTGTGATCGCATCAGTTGAAAAAATCTGATTCCTATTGTCAAGGGATTATGAAAGCCGAATAACCTGCTATACAGAATATACATTCCTTCTGTGGTACAGTCTGCCACTCTGTTCAACTAATTAGCAATAAGTAAGCACAGTTGTGGAGTTACCAATAACCAAAAGTCTCTTTTTAAAAGGGTACTGAAAATTCCAAATTTCTGTTGCTAACCCACACTCCGCTGCCCCCTTAAATACGTAACTTTCTATTTTAAAATGTCCTGCAGTTCTACTCTCAGCTCTTGAATTCAAAGCCAGTAACAGCATAAAGCCCCAGCTGTTAGGTTGGGTTCCCCAACCTTAAATATTACTGGAACAGGTGTTTGTTTCCTATCATCATTATACTTACTCTGAGTCATCAGGGATTAGAATTGACATTCCTACTCAGTGGGATCACATCTACTACTCCTAAAATTATTTGAAAGTAACCTCAAATGAATAAATACATAAGAAATGAGTGCAGCACTAATGCATTAAAAATAGCCTAGGAATCTGCAGTTGACAGTGTCCCTTTCTTTTGTTGTTAGTGTATGATGTCACGAGAAAAGACACTTTCACAAACCTAATGACCTGGCTGAACGAGCTGGAGGCATATGCTACGCGGAGCAACATTGTAAAAATGTTAGTTGGCAATAAAATTGACAAGGTCAGTTTAGAGCTGTCATCTTATGCTCATACACTTGGTTCTCATTCATGGTCAGTAGGTGTTTCCTGTGCACCAGGAGGCTCACAGCCTTGCATGCAGCATACCTGGTTTGTGCCGCTTTGACTGAAAAACCTGAATGAGGCAGGCTGGAGACCTCCTTTCCTTGCTGCTTCCTCTTAGAGGCAGAAGGTTGTTTGGGAATTTTGTGCAAACTGTCCCAGAGAGGTGACATGATCTAAATCAGGTGAGATGTTGTAAACAAGATTAAGAATTGAAAGAGCAAATAATATTTAATGAAAAGAAACTACGCTGGAACTCTTTCTGAGCATCTCCAGTGAAGTGCCATCTGAGTTAGAAGATTCCACCCTCTCTCCCCAGCTGTCCCTTTCTCCTGACCCTTTGGCCAAGCAGTGTGTCTTAGACTCAGCCTCTGGGTCTCCTGGTAGGTATTACCTCTGGGTTTCAGATCTGCTGTCATTCTCCCTCCTTGTCTGACTCACAGCACTATTAAACTGTTCAGGTTTCTTCAATGGGCCTCATTTCCCATCTTAACTACTGCAGCCTCCTCCTCGCTGGCCTCCCTAATACATACTTCGTCCCCTCCAATCTGTTCAGAAGGCAGTGACTAGAATCATATTTCTTGCTCGTCGCTCTGACAGCATCACTCTCTCTGAATGCCTCCACTGGCTCACTCTATATCAGTGGTCCCCAACGGGGTGCTGGCGCCCGCTGGGGCATCTTATGTGCACCCGCGTACTGGCCGGCAGACGAGCATCTGCCGAAATGCCACCGACAAGCAGCATCATCCAGAGGCCTATTGACGTTGCCGCTTCTTGGCGGCATTTCAGCGGATGCTCGTCCGCCGGCCATGATCCACGTTGGCTCGTCGTCTGGCACCCACCAGACGAAAAAGGTTGGGGACCACTGCTCTATATCATCACCCTGAGTTCAAGCTTCTTGTGCTTCTCTTCAAGGCCCTTTACAGCTCTGCTCCTTCCTCCTTGTCCATTCTTGTCATGTTATCTCCTGCAGACGCTGCCAGCCTCGTCCACCCATTTGTCAGCCTCACACAGTAACATCTCCACTCTTTCTCGTACACTGGTCTTTTTGAACAACTCCTCCTTTAGTTTCATACAATCCAGTCAGTGATTTAACCGCTCTGCGGGTGAAAACTTGGTGTCTGAATCTGTAAGTGTTTCCTCCGTGAGTCAAATATTTCTTTAGTCGCTTTTTCAACTACCCAAAGCTTTTGTGAATCTCACCCTATTCTTCAGAATTAATCAGAGGTAACAGACAAAGGTCACTTGACTCAAAATTCTGTATCTGCCCAGTTATTACCTTCCTGGTTTTTACCATTTTTTAGAACCCTTAATTTTTTCTCTGGCTATTTTGAAATGCTGTACTGGATCCAGGGATCTTTCTATGGTTATACTGCTCTCAGTATCAGTACAACTCTGATTTTTTTTTAAACCAGTGTTACAGTGGTTGTAAAGCCTAATGGAACCATTCAATCATTTATGATCACCATATAGACTTATGGATTTGCAGCAACAATTCGATATGTCTGGAGGAGTTTTAGAAAATGTGCCCACAATGACACTTTTCCTTGGAGTTCCCAAGACCTGGCAAGTATAGCGTATTTTACTTTTATTCTTTTCTTTTCTCTGCAGCCAGATCGTGAGATAAACAAAAGGGAGGGACTCCAGTTCGCTAGGAAACACTCAATGCTCTTTATAGGTATGCAGTTCTTTTCCAATAAAGATATAAAAATAGGATAGTTATTTTTTTACAGCTGAGCATGAATGAACAGAATGCAGCTCTCCTCCAGGCCATTATTCTTTGTTACTCTTGGGCTACTGCAGCTACAGATGGCTGAAGGCAGTGAGTACTTTTCAGATCCACCTATAGTTAAATTAACATGACTCCTTTATTGCCTTGGTGCAATATTTTCTGAGGTGCTGCATGTTTACCTAACCTGGAGTTTTGGGTGCTCAGTACCCTGAAAGTTAGGCCCATAATGTGTACCTATCAAATTGGCACCAGTCTAACCCTTACCTTGCAGATATTAATAATGTCAATTGAAAATAAGATTAGTGTCATTGACTGGGGGCTACATTTAAATCTGTGACTTAAAAGTAGAAGTGTTGTATTGTGTTCCCAAACCTCCAAGCCTTACTCTGCTCAGACTGGAATCTTTATTTGGGGCTGATACCCAGAATTTTGACCAGTTCCTATTTTCCAACTTCGAGTTTTTTGAAGAGTTATGGAGGTGAATTTATAGCCAACTGTAGAATGCAGTCTGTCTTGGGGAGATGATATCATGGTGAAGATGAGTGAAGGTGCAATGAAATGAGAACCTACAAGTGGTGAAGCCTCTTGAAATGTAGGGTTGGAAGGACTTAAAGGGGTCATCTAGTCCATTGTCCCACAGTAAGGCAGAATTAAGTATGAAGCAGAACAAATAAATAAAGGGAGAACTTTCCTTTGTTTGCTGATGAAATTCTAGAGCCATCCTTTTTCTAAACATATATGTGCAGGATTGGTCACAACCCGAGGAGAAGTTTCAATTTAAAAATGCAAAAAGGAAGGGGAAACAATGGAGTTTCCTTCAGAGGAAATTAGACTCTTCAGGCTGCTGTGGGATGATTTGTCAGTAAACTCGAGATCTGAGGAGGAAAAAAGTTCAGCTGCAAATAACAAAATAGCATCCCCTCCCCTCCAAAGATAATTGTTTTATAAAGCGGAAAATTCTGTGCAAAAAAGGAAATTATTGGTTTTACCCTCTCTCTAGAGACCAGTGCTAAAACACGGGATGGAGTACAATGTGCCTTTGAGGAAGTGGTTATAAAGATCCTACAGACTCCAGGACTTTGGGATAAAGACAAACAAAAGTTTGGAGTCCAGTTGGAGACTGCAACACACACAGAGGAAGACGTTTGTGGTGGATACTGTACACTTACTTAAATTCACAGATGCCTATTCCATCCGACCAGCTGGACTTTCAGGCATGTTGCTAAGAGCTTACAAAGAGACAATCCAACTTCCATTCTGGACACATGTGATTCATACTATGGGACCAACCCAGATGGGTTCATTTCAGCACACCTGTCTGGTTTTAAAATAATAGATTTGATGGTTACTATGTTGGCAAAAATGGAATGGATATTTATTTGTATGAAGCATGGTACCTCTTGCTCTGACATTCTTTGCTCAAAAAATAAGACTGCAGTGTCAGATAGCAGCAGAATGTTATTCGTCATAAGGCTAATAATAGAGCCAAGCTGTCCAACCCTCAGGCTTTATTGAAAAGCTTTCAATCTCTACAGTAAGCGTGCAAGGTCCTCAGGCAGCCAAGTTCCCTTGAAGTGTTGAAAAGACACTTCCCATGCTACAATCTGGGATAATCACTGATTCTACCTCCCTGTTTCAGGTGCTTTTATGTGCTGGAACTCCCTCTGAGACCTTTTCCATTCGACTTATCCAGAACATTTCATCCAGTTCTCTCGGATCCAAAAACTCAGTTCAACTCCAGCTCATCACTCGGTTACTTCATTAGGCATGGAACAGCTCTGTGCCCACACTAGCCAGGCCTAGACGCAGGTGGGTTAGATACAGGGTGACACACATTTTTCCAGCTACTACCATCTATACTTTTTAAATGTAATTGGTTTGGACATCATATGGATCATGTAAGGACCAGTTGCTTTGCAGATTGCATAGGGCCCAATCACTTCTGTCTTCACCTTAGGTACATTTCAAGCTTATCAGTTCAAAGTGCCCCCATTTACCTCAGCTAGTTCAAAAACACTGTCTCCGGAAGACTAGGGTGACCAGATTACATCAACAAAATATTGGGACACATGGGGGGTGGGGGGCAGGTCCGGAGTGCCGCCGAAGCAAAAAAAAAACCCAACAAAAAAAACCCGAGCCAGAATATCGGGACAAATGGCGTCCTGACCATACATTTGTCGGGACGCGGGCCAAACGACTAAATATCGGGACGGTCCCGATTTTATCGGGACGTCTGGTCACCCTACAGAAGACAGCCTGTCATACCCTTGTTTTACGGTTTAACCTTGCACTCAACGTGAGCTATATGCAAGTTGATTCATGACCAGCGAGCTCTAGGCCTACATTATGTAGTATATGTTGCTGCTGAATGTTCCCAAGTCAGATGTAATCCAGCTGCCTATCCAAAATACTCTTGGTGAGGACAGTCATCATTTCAGTGTCACACTCTTGGGAGGTAGGCTTTTTCCACTGACTTTTCTGTTGCAAACCCAGGCGTTTACATGCAGCTCTGTGTAGATTTACTCCTCACTGTTTCTTACGTAATTTCTACCAACAGCTAGGATCAGTGACTATTAGAACTGTATTGTTTTAGGCTCTAATTCCACAAGCTACTTCTGTAATGCAGATCCCCATTGCAATTAACAGGGCTGTGTGTGGGCACAGTGGTCTGCCCGGGTGGAGCATCTTGCAGGATCAGGAATGTAATCAGTGTTTCTTCAAACTGTGAATGTGATCAATAAAAAATCTGGTTTAAAGCTACGTGACAGCAAGTGAGGCTCTAGAGGATTTTCCACTGAAAACAAGATCCTTCTCTCCATTTTCTTACAATTTCCATAGTGGAGTTCTGGTAATTAGTTGCCACTTATCTTTATTATTTCCCACTACACTGAATCACTTCTCTTGACATTAGAGTTTGAGTTTATGGATGCAGCAGTGGCTCTTCTAAAAACTTTGAAATTACTGGGCCAGATTCTGACCCTAGGTATGTTGCCTTCTGTAGAATTACTGCCAGGTTTCAGCAGCAACTGAGACAAGAACCTGGCTGGTTGTTTTAACATGGCCAATCTCAGCCAGCAGAAGAGACACTATGACAGCAATAA